GGTGGGGGTGGGGCTGTGAGGCGCTGGCTGGTGTCCACATACCTGGCTGTGGTGTCAAACTCAAAGGGGAAGATGATGTCGTGGTGGTGGCAGATCCGGCAAATGAAGCCACGCTGGGTGCACAGGTCGCAGCGGTAGACGTGCTGGGAGGCAGATTCGATCAGGGCCTTGAGGAATCCTTCATACGCCCCCTCTGCGATCTAAGGAGGGCAAGCGCAGGCCACCGGCCTTTCAGCAGCTGTGCCGAGGCTCCCTGGCGCCCTGCCTGGAGAACTTCTACCCTCAGTTCCCACGTGGGCCAAGAAAACCTCCCCGAGTCAGGCTGAGCGACGCAGGCGTCCGGCCCTTGTGCACGAGGTCGCTGGGGGGTTATGGGATTTACAGATGAGGCCGGAATCCACTGTACCCTCCCTCGAGGACAGAAGCATTCCCAACTCTCAGCCCTGTGCCCTGGGATTTGCTGGCGAGCCTGTGTCTTCCAGGGGGTGGGGGCACAGTCACTGCCCAGAAGCCGGGGGCAGCGAGGCACCCTGTCCCCAGGTGCGGAAAAGCTGAAGATTGCTTCCTGCTTGGTAGACTACAGGCACCCCGACCCGTCTCCCTTTCTGATTCTGAGGGAATGACGTCCCTCTGGAGGGGTAGGTGGGAGGGGCAGCATGACAGTCTCACCTGCTGGAGGTCAGCAACGCTGAACCTGTGGGGAGACTCCAAGAGATAATTCCTGTGGTTAAGCCTTCAAAGAAAACACAAGAGATCGTTTAGAAGAGTTTCGGAGGCTGGGCCAGCCTGTGCTGTTTGTTTTCATTTGGCAGCCCTGCTAGCCAGGCAGGACTGCCTCCTGCTGGGGCGGGGCAGGGGCTAAGAGCACATGTCAGCCTGCCTGGGCCCAGGACTGGACTCCAAGGTGACTAACGAGCTGCTGGGACCTTGGGCAGGTTACTTAACCTCTCTGAACCTCAGGTTTCCTCCCCTGAAAAATGGAGTTGTTTTGAGGATTAAATGACGCATTTATTTAAAGCATCTGCCACAGTGCCTGGCACATAGTAATCACATAATTAATAATAATGAGGACAGTGATGACGAATGTTAACTCTTATGCCAGGAACTGCGTTAGGAGCTGTACACATATTCATTTAATCCTCAAATCCTCACAATAAGCCATGAGGCTGGAGCTATTATAATCCCTTTTTGAGAAGAGGAAACACAGAGAGGGTAAGTAACTTGCCTGGGGTCACACAGCCAGTTAGTGGCAGAGCTGGAGTTTGAACGCAGGTGTCTGGCTGCAGAGCCTGCGCCCTTATCCTCCCTGGTGAGGCCTGTAGTCGTCGGCTGCTGTAATTACCTCCGTAATCACATACCAGGCACAGAGCTGGGGGCAGAAATGCTCAGGATATGGCCTCTGCCCTCCTGTAGCTCCTGGTCTGGCCTCGGGACAGACATTCCTCTCTGGTTTCAGTGGCACGTGTGAGGAACCGAGATGTGTCCGATGCACAGCAGATCCCGTTTGGGAGGTGGGGGCGGGGAGCAGAGGACCAGGCCTCCGCCGCCGACCCAGCTCTAGTTTCCACCACACCAATGGCAGGGATCCCGCCCGTCACATCCTGAGGGACAGAGAGAAAGCACCTGCCGAAAATCCCCTGGTACAAAAGCCTGCCTGGCCTTGCTGTGTGTGTGGATAGTGGGGACGGGGAGGGGAGAACACCCTGTGTCACACGATGCTTGGGAACCTGCCCCAGGATGCCCTGGACATTGGGGGGCAGTATCGCGCCAGTGCTGGGTCTGGGTCCTCAGGGTGTGGGCTGTGTGGCATCTAGAATGGGGGCTCGGCCGCAGTCCCCCTGCTGACCTCAGCTGTGGTCCAGGGGGAGCCCCATCTGGGGTGGCGGTGATGAGTCCCACCAAGCAACCAGGCAGGCCATGGGGTGAGAACACTGCCAACCGGCCACTCAGCTGACCAAGCTTCCAGCTTTCTGAGGACAGGAGGCTGCCATTTACCAC